GGCACTTGATGTACAGCTTAAGATAAACAAGCAATGTGATTTTAAATACTGTAAAAACATTATTTGAGTAAAAATATGGCATATGCAAAATATTTGAACATTCTAGTATGCAGAATGGTTGGGAGTACAAGATGTTATTTCCACTTCCAGATAATCAATGTATCATAATATTTGATTCACATATCAATATACCTTGTTCTTAAACTAATAACTTTTTTTTTATTTACAATATTTCTTAAAAAATAATTTGTTTAATACTTTAATTTACTGGTTTTAAAACTAGTTTTAAAACCAGTAAATTAAAGTATTAAACAAATTATTAGTTCCCGATCATAACTCATTCACTTTGTGAATGAGTTATGATCGGGTGGTATCTGACTATACCCTACACTCTATTAGGAAAACATCTTTGGTCATTGAACCATTTTTAAATTTTGCACCAATGTTAGTGCTTTGGTTTATTATTTAAGTAATAATATCAATGTAAAAATTGCTATTAGACTATAAAGATAAATTATAGTTATTGTAATAAAATATTTTATTATTACTAAAACTCCTAATATATAATAATCATTATTGAACCCATTAGATATATAACTTATTAGCTCGACTAGCGCATGATCCGTTAAATGATTCTTTTTGAACCCAAATTGTTTGTTATACATTATATTCCTCTCAGTTAAATAACTATTAAGTCTATCATACATAATTCGTTCTAACAATTTTGAGAAGCATGGTAAGACAGAAATAAATCTATAATTTGACATATTTGTGTCATCGCCAGATTTAAAAATAGGTATGATCTTAGGAATTTTTAATTTCTCTGGTACAATTCTGGATTTTAGTGACAGTTTAAAAATGTAAAATAGTCACGGTTCAATAATATTAAACACTGCTTTAACAACATTGACGCTAATTTGATCTATGCCAGCACATTTATTATTTTTTAGACAGTTAAAGGCATTTCGCAACTCACTTAAGTCTAATTTTACTTCTTTTATAGATGTATTAATTGATTTCATATAAGATTTAAGAGTCATTTTTTGTAAGAATCAGGCAGTCAATGGAAGTGACCTCCTCCAAATTGCTTGAATTTTTTATATATTGATCAGAATATAGAGAAAACCTGTTGGGGAAAAAAAAAATTTTCAAAAATGTTTCGTTCACTCGGAATCTGGGCTTAAATTTTTGAGATTTTTTTAAAAATTTTTAGAAATTAAGTTTTTGCCACCTTTGAACCCATTTTTTTGGCAAGACAAAAAGTTGCACATAGCTTTTGTAGTTAATATCAGATGTAACCCAAAAGCTCTCTCCAAAAAATATAAAAAAGTTGCGTGACACTGTGCGGTTGGCTAATTATCATAGTTCAAAAGTACAAAACCAATCAGTTTTGTCAATTTTTAATCGGAGTTAATTCTAGCGGCGAAGTGTTGCACACAATTTTTCTTTTTGGATTTGAAATTATCAAAGGTATTGAGTCTAAAAATGCAAAGAAAGTTATGTGATACCTAAGGCCTATTAATTGAAATTGGAAAAAAATGTTATTGTATACTTACAAAATGAGCTATTACGGCAGAGGCGCTAAGTTTTGTAAAAATATAATCATGTTAAATGGTCAAGATAAGATGACCCTAACATAGTTTAAAAAAAAACTCATGTGATCTTTAGATATTAAGTTAAAAATAAAGGTACAAATTGTGAAAATTATTAAGTACGAAGAGATATTTTTTTTGGACACACAGATGAGGTTTTCGCTCACAATAAAATTTCTATCATCCAAAATTAGCAATTAGCATTATACAAAACATTGCACGTAATGTTAAGAAAAAATTTAAGCGTTTCTGACTATGATATAGAAATCATAACAATTGAAATAAATAATAATAAAAAACAATACATGATCAGAAGTGAATTATTTAAATTTACGTCATAACCAAATAACTTGTGGTGATCGAATGGAAGAAGAATTGCTGATATCACGATTGTGGAGAAACAAGTTAGTGGGCGGTTGTTTACTTTACCATAAAATGTCTTAAATTTATTTTAACGATCTTTAAAATTTGCATAAATAGAGTAGATATTTTATCATTGCTATTGAGAAATAGGTACTGCATAAATAGAACTTGTTTTTAGTTGAGTATGGAACAAAACAAATATTTTTATGAAAACTGTTGTTGCTTTTCAAAAGGAAATTGTGGATCATTCAAAAAACATAAAATTATAAACAAAATGTTCTACATTCATCAGCTGGGAGATGTTGATGTTAAGAAACACCTCATCAACTTAAAGGTAATTATGTATTTTAAATTTACGCAGACTGTAATATAATTTTTATAGTTACATACTTTATAACTTCTCTGCAATAAGAGTTTGAGACAAAGTTCTTTAAACAAAAAAAAATAGCTCTTTTAATTAATTTCTCACTCTTTTAATAAATAATCACTAAATTAATCACACTCTTGCAATATTGTATTTTAATAATAACAACAATGAATTTCAAACTTGTAAACATTTTTCGTGAAGAGTCAGATTATAAACAATGCTTTAAATGACACACTTAATAATTGTTTAAAAAATTGGTTTTAGGTCATGCGATTAAACGATAATAGTATTTGGGAAGAAAATGGACTTATTGCAAATAGACTTAAAAGAAATCTTGAAAAGGATGAACAAATATGTGCTTTTCACCGGTACACGTTTGGTATTGCATGGAGTCCTCCAAAAACATGCTTTCATCCTCACCATCTAAATATAAAAGGAAAAAAATCTCCCGCTTTAAGGGCGTCACCAATACATGTCGTCATATCAATCTCAAAGCGATACAATGAAGTATTTTCAGTTGGTGCAATGCTGTGTTTTACCCATTTAAAGCAAGAAACTGCTTTATCTAGAGTCAACGAAAACACCAATTTATGTACAGAAACACAAACACAACAAGAACAAACATATATGACACCTGCTACTCCAGATGAAGAATGTGATCCCGGTGAAATTAATGTTTCACAGGAGATTTTGGACGAATCTCTAAGTTGCCGTGAGAGTGTAACTGAGGTTCTTAATGCAAGTCCAATAAAATTTAGATTAAAAAGGAAGTTCGAATATCTGGAAGATACTACTAAAGATAAGTTAAAACGCAAGTATGTTCGCCTAGAAAACTTATTAAAGAAAAAATTTGCGGAAGCTGTTGCTCCTGGACAAGAGGAAATACTTATAGATTTTCTTAACCGTAAAAATGTTGATGAAATAAATAGCCCTCTCCCAATTGAAATTATTCTTGCTCAGAAAGTATATAAGCAAAGTGATTCCATGGGAAAGTTAGTTATCCTCTCATTATTAGACCATACCAAGTATACCAAAAAGTTTATAATGAATACATTTGAGTGTACCAAACATCGTATAGAAACAGCAAGAAAATGGCAAGCATCTCATAAAGGGTTGGCATTTCAAGAGAAGAAAGTATTCGTCCGATCTAGTCTTGATCAAACAAAGTGCGAACATTTCTTAGACTTTATATTTAAGCAGTATTTTGCATGATGTTGCTTATGGAATAACCAAATTAAAATACGACAGTGGTGAAGAACAAAAGATAATGCATGCAATACTGACGACAAAATATAGCCACGCTATCATGTTCTATCGAAAAAGTTGTAGTGAAAACAATTATATGCCATTATCTGATTCAAGTTTGTGGAAAGTATTGCATGCAATAAAACCTTCAAGTCGAAAAAGCTTAGCTGGATTAGATGATGTTACTGCTTCAGGCATGAATGGTTTTCAAACATTACAAAAATTGACACAAAGATTTAGTTCTAAATCTCTCGAAGCTGCCCTTGAAAAAGGAAAAAGGTATTTGAAAACAAGTTATCAAACCAATTGTAGTGTCAATGACTCAAACATTTCTTCTCATAGCTCAAAACAGATCCTTATCAGATCCATCTGAAGACCTTATCAGATCCATCTGAAAAAAATCTTCAATCCAACACAGAGATATCAGAAGTGGTATGTGCCGATTGCTATGATTTGTGCAAAGCTATCGAGATGATCAAAGAACTAACAATTCAAAATTCTGACGATGCTGATTCTATTTATGATTTGGAAGTTGCTGTAAAGGATGTATTCAACTACATAAAACACCTGATGAGAGATTCTTAACAGAAAAAGGCAAAAATCGAAGCTTTCAAGCAATTAAACGATGAAACTGCTTTCTGGCTTAAAGATTTTTGTCAAAAAATTCTTCCGGTTTGATACAGAGAGGGCCAAAGAGAGTATTTTGGCAAGAAAGGAATGAGTTTACATGTGGATATATTCTTCATAAAAATAGCAGGAAAGTTATTCAAATGTGTTTACTTTACTTCAATGAATAGGTGTGATCAGGGAATAGGTGATGATGTTTCGTTAGCCACTGCAGTTTTAGACCAATTCAGAATTGATCAACCGCATATCAAGAAAATATTTACCAAATATGATAATGCCGGCTGCTATCAGGGAAATCTTTCAGCTGAAGCAATCTACAATGTATGCAAAGAGAGAGATATAAAGTTGCTGAGATATGATTATAATGAACCCTGTTGTGGAAAAGATCAATGTGACAGGGAGAGTGCAGTTGTAAAGACAATTTTAAGGAGTTACGTTGACTCTGGTAATAATCTTTTGACTGCTGAAGATATACACAAGGCTATGCATTATAGTTTTGGCGCTAAAGATGCAAAAGTAGCAGTTGCTCAAATTAGCAATGATAAAACTGTAGTTACTGGACCAAAGATTAAGAACATTAGCAACTATCACTCATTTGAGTTTGGTGAGAAAAGTATGAAGATGTGGCGTTATTTCAATATCGGTGAGGGAATGGAACAAGAGTATGGAAATCTTAAAATCCAACCCTCGATTAAGTTGTTGTTGCCATATAGCAAAACAGATAATTCAATTAGGCGTAACAAGTCACTTAGGAAAAACAGAAAAGAAGTGACAGGCAATTATATTCATTAAGATTTTGCACTGAAATGAATTGTACTTTATCATTTGAAAGCGATGCTGAGTTAGAAGAACACATACTATCCGGTCTTCATACAGTTCCGAAATTATTAACATCATTGGATAAAGTTCGCAACTCGTTTGTTCATAAGATGAAAATTACTTCACAACTAAATATGCCAATTTCTTCATCCTCTAACAGTGCTTCCGTAAAAGACAAACCACATTGCATGAACATTTTTCTATTGCAAGGTTGGGCATTACCAGTTCGAAGTTCTTTTAGATTTTCAAATCAGCAGAAAGAACTGTTGTATAAATACTTTATTCGTGGAGAAGAATCAGGTAATAAAATGAGCCCTGAGCAGGTTCACATGCAGCTGAGGAGAGAACTTCCGCCTGATCAATATGTAACTAGCCAACAGATAAGATCTTTATTTTCAAGGTAGGCATTGTTGCTATCAAAACTTTTGCAAATTAGATTATGTTTCTGACTGTTAAATAGTTCTTTTACAAATATGAAATTTAGGTGAAAGTTATAATTTTGTGTGTTTGTTTACATATGTTTAAAAATATGTACAATTGATAATGTTATAGATTTAGTAACCTGAAAAGAAAAGGTAAGCTGGTAGAACTGATAACAGAAAATAATGAAAATAGTCAGGTTAACGATAACAAAGAAGTTTATGGCGAAAATGATGACTTTAATCTGACAGGAGACAAAGAAGATGATAATAAATATGAGGAAGACATCGCCAATCTTGCAAAAGAAATTTGTCTTGTATGGAAAGTGAATGATTGGGTTACTGTTGCATATGAAAAACAATGGAATATTGGATATATTGTGGAGGTAATATTATTCAAAGTATATATTAGTTTCAAGTTTTTATTTTGTTTTACAAAACAGTGCTCTAAAATAAAAGGAATATAAATAAAATGTAAAAATAATTTCAGAATGACATTATATAAGACTTTACAAGTTTTATTGAATGTAAGCAAAATTAAACAAATCATAAACTCTTTATTATATTATTTTAAATGTTGCGCTAATACTTTTAGGTATCTATAACTGGGATCAGAGTTAATTATATGATTAACGGGCAAGAGAAAATACTTTTCGCTGGCCAGTTACTACCGAAGAGATGAATAACCAAACTGATATAATTATCTGTTTATTAAATGCTCCTTTTCTAATCAGTGGTTGTGGCGATTATTCATTATCCGAAGAAGACTATAACACAGTCATATCATTATTCTTAGAGAAACTTACTGCAGCAGAGTAGAAATTATGTGTGATGTGGTGGATAATGTGTGTAAACGACTCTATTAATAAATGAAAAACTAATTTTTAAATGGAAAAACATTTAAATGTTTGATTTAAGTTTTATTTAATTAGCAATATATTTTTAATTCATGTTATATCATGCGTGTGACAAAATCACACGAATTTTTTTTATTATTATGTTAGGACCTTTTTGTATTGACAGTTGGATATGTTTACATTTTTACAAAACTAAGCGCCTCTGCCGTAATGGTTCATTTTGTAAGTATACTAAAACATTTTTTTCCAATTTTAAGCCTTAATATATTATTAGGCCTTAGGTATCACATAACTTTCTTTGCATTTTTAGACTCAATACCTTTGATAATTTCAAATCCTAAAAGAAAAATTGTGTGCAACACTTCGCCGCTAGAATTAACTCCGATTAAAAATTGACAAAACTGATTGATTTTGTACTTTTGAACTATGATAATTAACCAACCGCACAATGTCACGCAACTTTTTTATATTTTTTGGAGAGAGCTTTTGGGTTACGTCTGATATTAACTGCAAAAGCTATGTGCAACTTTTTGCCTTGCCATAAAAATGGGTTCAAAGGTGGCAAAAACTAAATTTCTAAAAATTTTTAAAAAAATCTCAAAAATTTAAGCCCAGATTCCGAGTGAACGAAACATTTTTGAAATTTTTTTTTTCCCCAACAGGTTTTCTCTATATTCTGATCAATATATAAAAAATTCAAGCAATTTGGACGAGGTCACTTCCACAGTTTCAGGAATTTGCCTGATTTTTAGAAAAAACGGCTCTTAAAGCTTGATGTGTTTTTTGAAATTTTATCAGCTAACGATGGGCCAATATCAAGAAAAAGTTTGTTGAAATTTTTAATTATGACTTCTTTATTATAAATTATTTCCCCCTCAACTAAGAGTTTTTGTGGCAAATTTTTTTTAGGACGTTTATTTTTACCGATTGATATTTATACCGATAATTGATATTTACCATAATTATGTTGCTTAAATGTACAGTCATAAAATCAAATGTATATAAAGTAAAAAATAAATATTTACGGAAGTGATAAATTTAAACCAGCTCATTCAAAACAAAATTATTATCTTATTAAATGTTCTTTGTAATATTATATAAAACGGAATTCTAGTGCTATTTTTTTACTTGATTTTTAATACATATTTATATTATATAGATGTCTATATAATCTAGTATACTTTTGTCTATGCAATAATATTATGTACATAAATATAGTTTATTTTTTATGGCAAGTGAAATTAATTATGTTATTAAATGTTATGTTATTTAAATGAAAATATGTTGTTTTTTAATAATAATATTAAAAACTTAACGTTTCAATCGGTTGATTGAACGTTTAGTTTTTACAATTTATTTGAATAAATAGTGCATCAATACATAAATACTTCTCTTAACAAAGAAATACTAATCAGGTATGTTAGAGTCATATAATTGGCTGGGAATGTTAACAAGACTTTTTAAGAAGCCTTATTTAAAGTTTTTAGTCAGGTAAATTTTATTTACATATGTAGGTAATTTCTAGATATTACAAGTATATACAGTATATACAGATAGATAGGTACTTAAGTATATTTTATCTACATATATTGGTAATTTCTAGATATTACAACTATATATAATATATACAGATAGATAGATACATAAGTGTATATAATATATACAGATAGATACATAAGTATATGGATACTTAGATATAGATACAAAATAATATTTTGTAAACAAAACTAAATAAATAAACGTGTTTAAACTCATAATTTGAAGAAATATAGCCTTAATTTTCCTTTTGCACCGGAATGTAAGCTTCCATTTCGTAATTTCCTAAAGTAAGAAAATACTTGTTTAAAACAGGAAAAGTTAACACTTTAAGATTTCTATGAATCATTGTCTAATATGTGTTAATATTAGGCAAATAAAAGCCAACCTTTAATGGCATTTGCTACTAATAAGTGGCTTTAATGGCATTTGCTACACAGGTTAAGGTTGAGTATTTTAACTTTTGTTCAATAAATTTAGCCTCATTTTAATAGTTAAGTCTTTATTTAAATAATTAAGGCCTTATGCAAATTTTTGGAGTTATTTGTTTTTACTGGATTTATTAGCTCCCAAAAGTCCTTACGATCTTATCACAGAGCACCTTGGGAGAGCATTTAACAAGAAGTTCACGCCTCTTTCTGTAGCAATGTTACTTGTTATGTTAGAGCTGGCGTCGAGCCTTAGACTTTCGGTTCTGAGCCAGAACTTTAACCACTGCTCCATGGCTGCTCTTAAATGCTGGCACAAATATCTGGCAAATAATTAAGCTTTATTTGAAAAATTTAAGAATTCATTTTTATATATAAGCGGAACCGAGATAACTCTTTTGATCAAACATTTATTTAACTTTTTTTTGGTGTTTACCGTAAAATCAGGTCAAATGAATCGTGAGACAATGGGAATTTTTTTCGCTTTATTTACGGTAAACAAAGCAAAACCTCTCTATAAATATTTGATTAAAAGGGTTTTCTCGGTTCCGTTTACTTTTAAAAATGAATCCTAAAAAATGTATCAAAGCGGTTTTTTAAGCATAACGGAGAAATCTAATTTTTGTTTTGGTTTTGCTTAAATTCCTTAAAGCATTTGAGCCTTAGATATTTTTCTCATTTATTTCTATACGTTTTATTTTACTTTTTTTCAAGTTATCACGAGAATTTTTCGATAAATTATAAAAATATTATGGGTAAATCCTGGGCATCGCAGAATACCCCCTAGATCCGCCCCTGGAACCTATCCCTCAAGATGCAATACAAAAACCTATTTGAAAAAAATCAAACAATAAAATTATATATTATTCTAATCAAATACAAAAATTTAATGGAGACTTTAAAAAGACATAAGACATTATGAAGGAAATAATTGGTAAAATTAAATCTAATTTTAACAAATTGCTTTCTGGAGTAATAATTAATGAAAGTGAATTAAACAATAAGCAAGATATTTCAAACAAATTTAATAACTACTATGCCAACATTGGTGCTGATCTTGTATGAAAAATTCAATGCCCAAATAATACATTCAAAAGTTATTTAACTGCTCACATTGCTTCTTAAATTTCAATGAAATAAATCAAGACGAACTTGAAACAGCTATAAAATCACTTAAAACCAAGTCCCGAGGGGACTTGATTTTAAGTGATTTTAAGTAATTTCTTGCAAAGTAATTTTAGATGTTTTTGAGGAGATGCGTTATTCAATGTACCAACTATTTTAATCATCAGTTTCAACAGGTGTTGTACCTGATAAACTAAAAATTTCAAAAATTGTACCAATCTATGAATTAATCCTTTCAGTATTCTCAAAACCTCTTAAACGAATAGTATGTGATAAATTAAATGAATATTTAAAAACTGAAAAAATTATCAATAAAGGTAAATTTGGTTTCGGAAGGCTGCACTCAATAGAGCATGCAATCTTTGACCTCTGAAATAGGATAAGTAAATCATTAAAAAAAAATCACATTAGAGATTTTTATTAATTTGTCAAAGGCATTTGACACCGCCAACCATTATATATTACTGACAAAAATGAAAAACTCAGGTATAAAAAATCAAGCTTTAACTTGGTTTAAAAACTACCTAAATAACAGACAACAGTGTGTTATTATAGATAGAAAAAGAAAATCAAGTTAACTAACAACTCAAATTTACTGGTGTACTCCAAGGTTCCATTATTGCTCCTCTTTTGTTACTTATTTATATAAACAATATTCCAAATCCCTTTAATATCTTAAAAATTATAATGTTTGCCGACAATACAAACATATTTTACTCATCAAAGACAATCAAAGAACTCTTTGAAAAATAAATGTTAAATTAAAAAAAGTTAATATATGGTTTAAATCAAATAAAATCAATATAGAAAAAACTAAGTATATACTATTCCACTCTAATCAACAAATTAAAAAAATACTCCTGAACCTACCAACAATTATTATAAAAAATATAATCATCAAAAGAGCTCTAAATACTAAGTTTTTAGGGGTTATTGATGAAAACATTTCCTGGAAACCCCAAAAAAACTACATAAACACAAAAATATAAAAGATCATAGGTTTACTTTACAAGGCAAGACCATTTTTGTCACAAAAAAGTCTAAAACTTGTTTACTTTTTATTCATACATAGCTATCTCATGTATGCCAATATAGCATGGGACAGTACCCTTAAATCTAAATTAGAACCACTTACGTCAAAAACACGTTTAAAAACAAATATACAACAAAAACAAATTACTAATGCTCAACCCTTGCTGAAACAAATGAACGCACTAAGTATTATTTCAAATAAATATTTATCTAAATATACTTTTTATGCTTAAATATAAACTAAGTCTGGTTCCAGAACATTTTACAGCACACTTTTTAAAAAAATATATAAATAATACAATACAAGAAAACAGGCAACTTTAAGATACCGTTTGAAACAACAACTCTCAAAATTCTCAATTACATATTGTGGTCCTTATTCATTTAACAAAATAATTTCCAGAAACGAGTCAATAATAAACTTAAATAACGAAAATTAAGCTAAAATCCACGATAATCAAGTTAAACAACTATAAGGAAGTATATATATATATATATATATATATATATATATATATATATATATATATATATATATATATATATATATATATATATATATATATATATATATATATATATATATATATATATATATATATATACAGGCATAACTAGAGAGAGCAGCACGAAACATAAATAAACTTAAAAACTAAATTGTATCATTGGAAAAACAGTGAAAAGGGTCATAAAGGTAGTATCATAATATTTTACCTAGTGTAAACAGTAACCTAAGAG